AAGCTGGCTACTTTTCAAGAAAATGTTGTTTAAAGAAAGAAAATATTGAGAAAATATACAGCAAGCTACATTCAAGCAACCTGAATCACATTCATCTGGTAGGAAGTAATAATTACAGACAGTCTGAAGTAAAATCCCAGATTTAAACACTCCCAAACTAATTCATTTTGAAAACCTGAGGCAACAGACAGAACAACTTGTCTGCATCTAGGAGAGATTGAGGATTACACAATGGGTCAAATGCCACACACTGAGAACTCACACCAGCTGTGATGATACAGTCTGCAAAGCTGAGATTTGCAGTCCTGAGAAGATCTGGGATATAAGCTATTTAACCAAGTCCACCTCTCTCCTGTGCTTCAGCATGGGATCAGTTTTTATGGATGAAGACAGGCTGCAATTATTAAAGCAGGGACAAATGATGTTCTTCCAGCTTACACTAACTGCCATGACCCAGGGGAGAAAGCCCTGGGAGACAGAACGGAGAAAAACCTGGGAAGTCTATCATACTTCTTCCTAAGCATAGCGATTTAACAGATAAAACTAATGAGAAATAAATAATGGTAGAAACTGCAAGTGGAAACCTGTCTACAACTCATTTCCAGTTAAGCTGTGAACATCAAAGTGATTCATATAACACAGAGGAGTTTGCAAACTTTTAAGCATTTCCTTGGTAAACAAGCTGAAACCGAGCACTCTGCACCCATACAAACATATATGCATGTCAGTCATGGCTCTGGCTCTCGAAATAACAAATCTTACACAGTATTGCTGTGGCAGAAGATGTTTCTGGCTTTCCCAAAGGGCATGTTACAAAGGAGCTCCAAATGTCTTTAATAAATAGCAAAGGTGCTTAATGTCCAAGAAACAGCTGTATAACAATGAAGGATACTGCTCAGAACCAGGACAGTATGGCAAGGGAATAGCCCAGTTGCAAATGCAGGGATCAACCTATTGGTTTCAATATACATATGGAAAAGACAAGAAAGATGATCATGAATGACAAGAACTAGAAACAATTTCTCTGGTGTTTGGCTTACCAGAGTGGTCCACAGTGGAGCTGTGCCAGAATGACATACTGTTTAGTGAAATGGGACTTGGACGCATGTGTACATGCATGTATAAATAAGAAAAGGATGCACTAAGGATATACTTGACTTGTTTCACTAATTTCTCAACTCACTGAAAAACAAGCAAGTATGCAAGATCCTTAATGTAGCTACCCACTCACAGCCAAATAGGTAATAAGACACTAGAAACAGCCTCCTGGGAAGTAAGAGATCATTTTCTTATTGATCTAACAAGGGAAATCAAACTTTAACTGGATTTCCTATAAGCACAGAGTAGAACAATCTAATTATGAAAAGCCCAAACTGGGTACATTATTATTGTTGGTGAACTGTACAATGAGCATGTTGTGGTTTAAGCCCCATCGGCAACTAAGCACCACGTGGCCACTCGGTCACTCCTCCCTGCCCTGGTGGGATAGGGAGGAGAATCAGAAGAAAAAGGTAAAACCTCATGGGTTGAGATAAGGACAGTTTAATAGGACAACACAAGGAGAGAAGAAGTAACAATAACAATTATACTAATAAAAGAATGTATAAAGCTAGTGATGCACAATGCAATTGCTCACCACCTGGAACCCGATGCTTGGCCCATTCCGGAGCTGCCATTCCTCCTCCCCCTGGCCAGCTCCCCCAGTTATATACTGAGCATGACACCATATGGTATTGAATATCCCCTTGCCTAGTTCGGATCAGCTGTCCTAGCTGTGCCCCCTCCCAGCTTCCTGTGAAAATTAACTCTATCCCAGCCAAACCCAGGACAGAGCATCATTTATAAGCCCCAGGGAAATTGGGGCACCATTGTGTTAGTTTGGTACTGTGCAAATACACAGGACGGTGCTCACAGCACAAATTCCTAACCTGTGCCTCACTATCTCTATGTAGTCTGTTAGGATAAGTCATTCAGCTCACAGCCCCTTCCCAGCCCACATCTCTCCCAGCAGTGCAAACTTTATCTTCAGCATGTAAAAAAAGCATGTTTAGGACCAGAATTTATGTCCCTCGACTTGTCTAGACCATTTTCTCTAGGTCACAAGTAATAGCAGGTGGTTTGGGGAATGGGATCTGTAAAGAAACAGGCATTTCTTCAGGTCCAAACACAGCTAAAGTAAAAGTATTTTGCATACGTAGACTCCGTTCTGCTTAAATGAGTAGATCATGCACTGTATTCTTGCTTTCTTACCCCACAGCAATACAAAGAGATATAAATTCAAACAGACAGTTGACTAGTGTGGATGAGATACAATAAGCAAGAGATGAGAGATAGAAAATACATAATTTCTCAGGAAATAAGTTAAAAAGTACATGGAAAGGAGTTTTACTTGGATTCTTCCATGACAAGGATATTATCCAGCAAACTGGATGTTAAGAATATTGTAATCTGGAGGAAAAGTACAATAAAAAGAGAGGCTGAGCACAACCAAGGTAAGAACCGAAGACTGGAGAACACAAAAGATGTTATGGAATCACATTTGTCTTGTGATGGGAAGCCTGGCTAGCAAGGTTGTGAAAAAGAAGCTATTCAACCCCTTTGTAACATAAACTGTTTTGTTAATCTATTCATTCTGGCAGTAAATTAATGCATCCTGTATGACTGAATGGTCTGGGGCCTTACTTATTATTACTGCCCATCCACTGAAAATTGCTGGTGTAACATAATCCTCTCCCCTGGCAGCGGGAGCATCAGCAGAGCTGCTGCTGGGGCCACTCTTTCAGTCGTTGGCTTGGCATTCCCATTGTATAGCAGGTTGTGATCCATGGGACGATGAATTTGGAGGCCCACAGAAAGCCCATGAGCCACACTGTTAAGCGGAGACATCCTCAGAGCAATTTGGAACAGCATATAAGATGTAGATTCCCCTGCTCGTCTCCCCTTGTAGCCTAAACCTGCTTGTGCTGGCATCAGAACAGGGTATAGCTTTAAGAGAAATCATATTATGAACTGAGATGTGGTTTTGGAGGTGTGAGCCCTCTTCCACAGAACTTAAATACTATGTGCAGTGGCGATAAGGTGCCTTTAATTTTATTCCTGTGTATTTTCCAGCTGAGCTTTGCAGCAGAAAATACAGGATTAAACTGTATCATGAACAATCATGAGGAAACAGGTGCTGAGAAAAAACAATAACTCTGAATCTAATTTGGGTTTAAGAGACCCAAATGATAATCTGGGTCATTTTCTTGATCTGCCTGCAATTTCAATCTTTATTTCGTTTGTATAATTGTCAAGTTCTAACTCACTCATACCAGTTCCTGCCCTCTATCATTAAAGAGAGGAAGGGAACAAGCACAGTGAAAGGGAAGGAGAGATTATTTTTTTCTGTGAAAAAATTAATGCCTGATTAAAACAAAGCAAACTGGCAGATTATGAGTGTGTTTACATAGCCATCACTTCTGCAGAGAAGCACTCACTTTGAGTGCCAAAAAATGCCCACCAATGCCTCAACATCAAGAATCAGGGCTCTAATATTCCCTGCAGAATGATTTATCTCAGTGCTGGATCCTGCAAACACACCCTCTATAAACTCAAAGTTTGGTGCTCCTGGTTAATAGGAAGAGCACACACTTTTTCTCTTTTCTGTACCTATAACATCCTCATTATTGTGTTATCTATTTAAATATCCAACTGAGTTCCACCACGTTTTTAACCGCAAGCGTTTCTCCCTTCACCCCTCCCCAGTTAAACAGATGGTTAGACTTATTTAGCAATTAAAATCAAGGTTTATTTACCCATTCCACCAGAGCAAAGTTAGAGCCAGTGCCATATCATGTAGGCTTAAAGATTTTGCTAATTTACTTTAATCCACTTAAACCTTTAAAGCACAGATAATAGAAAACACACAAGAAATCTCTTACACTTTCCAAATTAAGAGACAAGAGTTTCCTCCTCTGTAAAGAAGAGTAAAGCTCTCTAGAAGAACCCTGAAAGGTCAGCAAGGAAGCCTTTGACTACTTTCTTCCTGGAAACCCTATCTCAAAGGTCACAGAACCACAACTAAATTGCCTTTAGCAAAGAACCTAACTAGAGACACATTGCAAGGTACTTAATTGCCTTTAGTGAAGAATGTAACTGTAGATGCATTGCAAAGTCTTAAATGGGAACCAAAATCGATATTTCAACATTTAGGAGGAAACCACTTTTAGCAAGGAGATTCAGCAGCTGATGATGCTGGCACACTGAGCTTAGCACACTAGTCTGGGGTGAATTCAGAAATAATGGTGGTACCCATATAATGATCTAACTGTCACGTGGGTAAGTGGACAGACTGGACAGACAGCAACTTAGTACACTCATGGAAAATCCAACTGGGATAAGGACAAGAGAAATTCCATGCTGCAAGAGAACAGTAAAAGGATTGCCCATTGCAACACAAAGGCCCCCTCTCACATTCTTAAGACCTTGTCAAGTTAAATGCCCAGATGAAAGACAGAAAAACTACTAGCAGAGGTGATAAATACCTAACAAACCAAAACAAAGCAACAAAAAGGCAGCCACTCCTTGCAATTTTAAAACAATTTACTTCTCTTGCATTCAGGTATGTCCAAATTCTCTATCACTTTTCACTTACTAAGTGTCTGGATCCAACCAGCCAGGTGAGGTATATAAGCATTACTGAATCCAGTTAGAGAAAAAGAAACTGAAACACAGTTTCAGTATGGCACAAGATTACAGGGAGCCTGTAGCAGAATTGAAAATGGAGATTCTTAGACCAGAAGTCCCCAAACTGCCTGAACTAAGCGACTGCTGTGAAACCTGAAAGTTAAAACTCTGTAAAGCATCAAAGGGAATACGATTCATCAGGCCACTTGCACTAGCCTGTAGAAAACAGGTGTAAGGAAAACAGCACAGACTAAATCATCATGCCTAACACCACCAGGAAGGACTTCAAAATGGCTCATCCTACTGGAACTTGAAACAGGAATGGAAGCTCTTACCTTCAAAAGCAATTGTGGGATGTTCTTTCCTGATGCATTGCTGATGTTCAGCTTCAGAGTATTCAGGTACATTCTGTGATGCTGAGAGATGAAAAGCAAGAAGAAAAAGGCTTGGCAATGACAGGGAAATGGCCTTTAATCTTGAAACAACCATGACTGAAGGGCGGCTGCAGATCTAGCTTCCAAGGTAGGCCCAGGGAGGATACCTGAAATACAAATAATTCCACTTTCAGAAAGATGAATACTTATCCGGAGTGTGTAACATGGGTAGAGAAGGGTGGAGGTTCCCCTTTCATCCCAATCCCACTTGTGCTAAGTAGACAAGATAATATTCCACAAACAGCATCAAAAAAAAAAAGACCCAATTTACAACTGTGTTTGGGCTTCTAACTTCAAAAAGAAGGGAAGCGCACAGCTCCCTAAATATATATCTCTGTATACCTTTGAGGTATATGTCCTTATACAGCAGCTGGTGTGCAATAGCCAGTGCTGACAACATGAAATCTCAAATATTCCAGATGATGTAAATGTGTCCCCCAGTGTAGACAACTCACTCCTCAGTTTCATGACATGTCCATGTTTAAATGTCATGCTACATTCAAGAGATGGCTAAGGAAAAGCCAACATCAGTCATCGTGAAAACACATGTGCAACTAATAGTGTTCTAATAGGAGATTTATACATTTTACCACTGCTGTTTTAAATGTCTTGAAACAAGAAAAGCCAATTTAAAGGTGTTGCCAGGAAAGTGCTAATTAGGGTAACATAAAAATTAAAAGAGCTTAATGGGGAGAATGGTGAGAAGTGAGTCAATTGCCTGCATTATCATGGGATGCTATAGCTCCTAGTCACAAGAGCTGAGGCACTGCTAAAGAGGAGGAGCACTCATTCTCAGGCTAGGAGAGAGGAAAGTCATGCCTTTTCTACGTGAGCATTTTTAACAACAGCAGCAGAAAAGATGTAGCTCTAAAACTCCCCCGGGCCTACCAGGGCTGAGGCAGGGGATGGAAGATTAATTAGCCCATGCCACAAGCTCCCCAAGATGCTGCTGCAGCTTAGGAAAATATGCATTGCCAAATTTAATCTTACTGATATGCACATTGTATTTTCCCATGTAACTTCATTCAATTATTGCAAACACGTGTTTGCAAACACATGGAGTCTCCTACCCTTAAATCTTATGTAGTGATAAAGCTGATTCTGATTAAATTCACACATAACAAGATTTTCAGTTCCTGCAGGTGTAATGATTCATAAAAGTAGTGTAACAATCAACACCTGCAGTGCCTGATACCTCTATATTTTTGTCTGGAGTCTCCAAAACACCGTCAGTGAGCTGAAGTGGCCAGGCTGGTAGCTGGTAGCGTGAGGCAGTGATACACAATGACAGACTTGTGGTATGGAGTGAACTCCAATATAGGGGATAATACTGTGACATTAAGGAGCTGGAAGAAGTTTGTAAAGGTCTTTGGGCATCACAGGAGTAATAAGGGACTGCTTACAGCAGCAATGGAAGACAGTTGGTTTGAAAGATGGATCCTATGTTTTATTCTTATCTGTATTTCTCTGTGATTTTAAACACTGGCATGAAGATGAGTTGCCAGCGCATCCATTATGCGTGTCCTCAGCAGCAGCTACATACCATTGACTGAAAATAGCATTGGCATTCAGGATTTGGGGTAGTTCTAGGGACTTGGTTTCCCAACCAGTGTGAGTGAGAGATTACAGCATTTCATATTTTTTCCAGCTCCATATACGTGCAGATTTTATGCAGGGATGTATAAAATCCCCTTCCAGTTCTCCAAAGGAGGTTTTACAGCACTTCACTATGGAGGTTTTTTTATTTTTTTAAACACAGCAAATATGTTAAATTAAAAAATGGGACTGGCAGAAGTAAGAGATGTGAAATCAGTCAAAGCTAAGGCCAGCACAGCGTTTATTCATTAAGCACAAACATATTGCAGGGTGTACCTTGCTGAGTACTGTGGCATCTCACATGATGGAGATGTTGTGCAACTCATGTTGTAATGAAAATTATCAATGATGAAGCATAGGATTGTATTTTCAGCCGTTGGTTTAAATGGTCACTTTTTTCAGTACAGATCCAGAGGTGAAACACAGCACAGAGATGTGAACCCCAGGGAGATGCATTTTGTATAGCGCTCGGATTCGCTTAAAGTTCCAGAAAAGACAAAGCCAAACTTTCCTTAGATTGGAGATGGTTGTCATGGGAAATGCACAGGAGGCAAAAGGACTTCTTCACTGTCAGATATCCTTGCTGGAAACTGGAAGAGACAGTCATGGAAATCTCACTTTATGCATGCTCTACTCCTCCCAGTGCAGCCATTACCAGATAATCCTAGAAATAAGGTACTAAACTAGACAGACTTTTAGTCTGAGCCAATATGGCCATTTCCATTTACTAATAATCCAAACAATGATTTCAAGCTAGGTGAAAAAAATTGTTAAATCAAACACGGTAGGGTCCCATGCTCCTCTAAGGCCCTGTGAGGTCTACAATCAGCAGATGAGTAAATTCAAGTTTCACACTCTTCAGGGTCATGAAATGATAAAAAGTTGCATACAGGAAAGCTTCATAACATCCCACAGCCTATTCTGTGCCAAAGCAGAGTACATTTACTAGTGTTTTGTCTGGACTAGTTGTAAAATGTGCCAAGTACCTGGATTTCTGCCACTTTCCCTGGGAGATTTTACCACAGTCCAAGAGACTTTAGTGTTCCTTAGAAAGCTGTAAGCAGTATTTGGGGTAAAGTTCCATCTTCTTTTTCCTTATTGTCACAGGGAAATCCAAAGTGTGCATGAAAATAATGGTTTCAAACTTGATGTGAAATGGAAAGTAATATATGACCAAACAAAAATGAAAAAGAAACATTATAAAAAACTTGTATCCTTCCCTATGTCCCCTATCTCGTACATCCAATTGCATCCATCAAATGTGTGGAGCTCTCATGTGCTGGGAAGTTGAACAAAATCAGTCGTGTGCAGCCCTGAACTGGTGCCTACTGGAGTCAGAGTCAATGAGTAAATGCCAGCTTGATCAAGGGCGACAGAAGCTTGAGCCCTAGAGCACCAGCTAAACAATATTCAGACAGTGGATAGCATTGCAAAAGGTTACTCCTTCAACCTGTCCCTTCCCAGGCTGCCTTGCTCATTTTTTTCTCAATATTTTAAGAGAGACTCTAACTTAGTAATTGCTATTCCCAGCTGCTGCAACTTTATTTTTGAAAAATACATACTCCGAATATGAAGCAGTGCCATGTGCAAGAGCAGGTCAATTGTATGCCAGGAGCAAACTAGTAACTGCCTGGGAGAGTCCAGAAGCTAGTTATGAAGTGTAAATATTTTAATTCTACTGGAGATGGCCAAACTGAAGCCTCCAATTTTGCCCAAGCTGCAGATTTTCACTGTGAGGGCTGGCGTATGACCAGTGCCTAGGACCAGTCCTCATCCAGGCTGCTAAAACACTGCATGTCCTAAGCACAGCCCAGGCTAGCGGTGGTTTGCACTGCTGGAACTTGCCCTAGCATTAAGCCGTTTAGATACAGTTAAATGCTGTAAGAAGAGCTGTTCTTATTAGACTCTCTGCTCAAAATGGCTTAGAGCTCAAGAAACCAGCTGTCAAGGTTTCAGTGCAGATGAGAAGCAAGAGTTCAAATCCCTGGTTAAACTCAAATCTCAGATAGGACATATCGTTTCAATTCTTTATTTGCTCATCTTCATGTATCTTTACCACCTCAGCTATTCCCCCCCACACACAATGCAGACACGTTAAAAAAAAAAGAATGAAAATGTCCAATAAGATTATCTGTCCAAGTTAATCTGTCCTCTCCCTCACGAAAGCCTGTCCTCTGCGCCTCTGCACAGTCCCAAGGGCCAGTGATGGGGCATCTCTCTCCCCTCTTCTACTCTGCACAGTGAATCCCTCTGGCCCTCTGCCAACAAAAGGTCAACAAATTCAGGCTCCATTGGATCCGGTGAAATATGCTCCAGAGACAGGTATTTTGTAGAGCACCACTACTGCCACCATCCTCTTGTCTCTTAAATCAGGCTCTCTTAGCTCACGGGCCTCCCTGACTGTAGTGGCGGTGGCAGGGGATGGGCAAAGAGCTGCTCCTTCTGGGTAAAGCAGGAGGTCTGTCTGCACACTCAGTGCGTCCCCAAAGCTGAGATTTGCAACCACAGCACCCATGTGAGCACAAACTCACTGCCGCATACCCATTTCTCACCCAGGCCGTTTCATGGCAGCCTGATACGGAAAGCGTATAATTCTGCTTTGCCTCGTGGCTTCACCCCCTCGCACAAGCGCAGCATTCAGGGGATCACCCAGAGTCCCTCCCTTATTCATTCTCGGGGCATGAGTCTTTTCCAACTCACCCTGTATTGTATCATTGTAACTCCATTGATTTCACAGGAACTAATCCTGATTTACAGAGGGTAACTCAGATCAGGCCCCCTTTCACTAAAGCTCCACGTCTAAAGAAAAATACCTTCAATCAATCTTCAGGGCTTTAAAACAAAGCACACTTTAAAAATGGCTGTACCAGGAATTCATATCCTGCTTTCCTCTGACTGCAACTATCATTTTGACTTAATAAAACATGACAGTAAAGTTTAAGGATAAAAGAAAATGCTTCATCTTTCATTTTAAAGAAAAGAGATGCCTTTAAAAAGGACTAAAAAAGGAACCTCCTGTAAAAGCATTAATTCTTCTGTTTGGGATCTTTTGTGATTGGCACAGTTATGATTTTATTAGAATGGGATACCAGAGGGAAGGAGAGCAATGGAAAGAGGTGGACATTAAAGTATTCAAAAAAGTACTGGAAGGATAAGGGAAATAAATATAAATATCATAAAGCAAGACAGCTCAGCAATGCAGCTATGACAGGCTGGCACAAGCAGCTCTGCCCTAGAAAACTCCAAGGCCAACAAAACCACAGTCCTTTATTCACGCGCCGCTCCTTGCCCTCCCCTCCCACCCTCACCAGCTGGAATTCATTCCACCGGACTGGCTCCAAGGGCCATTTCACACTATCAAAGAAAAGGCACAACTTTTCCCTCTGCCCATGGCCACATCCGTACACTCAGCCCTCAGCCATGCCTGCACTGGGGAGATGGATCTGTCTCACAGCCGAA